ATAGGCTGTGATGTCACCGCGCTACACTGTGAGGTCATGGCCTCAACTCACAGCATCACTGTGTGCCCTATGATGTCATCAGGGAACAACGTGAATTCCCATGATGCACCAGTGACTTGGCATATCACGCAAGGATGTCATCATCATACATCCGGGCACCATGATGACCACGTGCTTCACCACGACGCTGCGGCCTCGCCTGCTGGCGGAGGGGAACTGGCTCCTGCCATCACAGCTCCACGTTCACCTCCTCCCAAAACAGCCCACTCCCCTCCCAGAGCTGGGGAGAGAACCCAGGAGTCCTGGCTCCCACTCCCCCCTGCTCTAACCCACCAGCCCCCACTCTCCTCCCAGAGCCAGGAGAGAACCCAGGCGTCCTGGCTCCCAGCCCCCCCTGCTCTAACCCACCAGCCCCCACTCTCCTCCCCTCCCCTCCCCTCCCAGAGCCGGGGCGAGAACCCAGGAGTCCTGGCTCCCAGCCCCCCCGCTCTAACCCCCCAGCCCCCCTCCCCTCCCAGAGCCAGGAGAGAACCCAGGCGTCCTGGCTCCCAGCCCCCCCTGCTCTAACCCACCAGCCCCCTAGAAAAATGGGAGAGGGGAATAAAAAACACAGACACAAAATGTAACCCGTTTTTTACTGGGTGATTGGGAGGGTTCAGGGGGGGCAGCTCCAGAAAATGAGGTTAATAATTTAGGGGTCACTGGGGGGGTATTGGAGCTGGGACGCGGGGGGCGAGAGAGAAAAGACGGGGCACTGGTGGGGGGGCTTTCTCTCCCCTGCCCTGCCCCACGGTCCGGGTTTCGGGGGAGGCCGGATGCTCCGATCCCTGCTAGGCCGAGGCTCCGTTGGGGTCTGGGTCCCCCTCGCGTTGCCCCCCGTTGTGGGGCCGGCGCCTGACGAAGGTGCCCTTGACCGACCCCTCCACCGCGGCTTTGAGCTGTGTGGGGGGGGGCAGAGATAGCGCGTAAGGAACACCCCCGCCCCCAAATCTCTGAGCCCACCCGCCTCCAATTTGATCCGCGACCCCCACCTGCTGCCCCCGCCTCCTTCTTCAACTTTCCTGAACCCCAATGCTCCCCCTGTGACCCCCTACATCCTCCCTGACCCCAGATCCCCCAGGATCTCCCCACACGCCCTCTCTGACGCCACTGTGACCCCCATGTCTTCCCTGACCCCCCCCCCGATTCCCGGCATGACCCCCCTGATCCCAGCATGACCCCACGAGCTCCCTGCCCCCCGACCCCTGTGACCCCTCTGATCTGCTTGATGACCTGTGCACCCCATCCCACGCCCCCCATCTCCCCCCCCACCTTACCTCTCGGAGGCTCACCACCCCGACCAGCCGGCCCACATTGGTGACATAGGCCGTCCGCAGGCCCAGCAAGTTGAAAAGGTCGTAGCACTGTGGGGGGGTGGGGGGGGGGCAGAGAAACGGGGGGGGGGAGACCGCAAACCCAGGGGGGGCGGATATGGGGGGGGGGGGCTCCGGAACCAGGGTGGGGGCTCGGGGGCCGGGCCAGGGCCAGGGGGGCCCCCCGGGGGGGGGGGGGGGGGCAGGACATGGACCATAATGATATGCAAATGAGCCCCACCCCATTGCAGCCGCTAATTGAGGTGCAAAGGTCTTGTTCCCACATTGCATATGCAAATGTATGCAAACCCGGGCTGCAAATGAGCAGGCCGGTCTAATTGCATATTCAAATTCATCTGCAACTCCTCCCATGCTAATTCTATATGCAAATTACCCTACCAGCCCCTCTGCCCCTAATTGCACATGCAAATTGATGTGCCAACGCCTCGCACTCTAATTGCCCATGCAAATTCACCCAAACCCCGCCCACCTTAATTGCATATGCAAATCTCTATCAACATGTAGAAGGAATTACCCCCAAGCGAATGCAAATGAGCGGCTGGCAGATTTGCAGACGTCATTTTACCTAATTGCTCTGCCCCAAGTGTGCTGCTGATGCCAGCAATGGCCCTATTTGCATATGCAAATTCATGCCAATCAGAGGTCTGCTCAAGCCCGCCCAGCGGCCCTGAGGTGGCTGCAAAGCATGCTGGGAAGAAGCTCCCCTGCAGCTACCTCCCAGCAACCTTTGCGCCCGCCACCGGCAGGCAAAGCATGCTGGGAAGGCAGAGCGAAGGGCGAGCGAGCGATATGGGGGGACCCCCCCGCACCCCGAGGCACCCACCTGGTAGAGGGTCTCCTTCTCCAGCAGGCGGTAGGGGGCCGGGTCAATGGGCAGCTCCTCCAGCCGGACCGGCTCCTGCAGCTGCTGGCACTCCCAGTCCTCCACCTGCAGCCGGAGCAAAGCATCCTGGGAAAGATCCACCCGGCTTGGGTCCTCCCAGAGTCATCGGCGCCAGCCCCCACCAGGCAGCAGGCGCAAAGCATCCTGGGAAATATCCGCCCTGCTCTGGCCCCCTCCCCGGGGTCCCTCCCAGAATCCTAAGGGCCAGCCCCCGCCAAGCAGCTGGCGCAAAGCATCCTGGGAAATATCCACCCTGCTCTGCTCCCGCCCTCAGGGTTCCTCCCAGAGTCCTTTGCATCAGCTCATGCCAAGCAGCTGGCGCAAAGCATTCTGGGAACACCCCAACAAGGACATGGGATGGGAAGCTGCCTCCCAGTCTGACCCCCGATAGTCTGGAGGGGGGGCCACTCTTAACCCCAATAGCCTGGGGCTGCCGCCCCCCATATGGGGGAGATTGGAGACACCCCCCGGCCCCTTCAATCGCCCTGCAGACTGGGGGATGACTAGGGGGGTCATGGCCCCTCCACCCGGGTACCTGGCCCCGACATACCAAGTGACGCACGTCCTTCATCTTGACAGACAGCTGGGTGCCTCGCTCCTGGGGAAGGGTGGGGGCACAGATCAGCTCCCGCAGCATCACCATTGGGGGGTCCCCCAGCCCCCCCGCCACAATCCATGGACCTCCCCTTCCCTGACCCCCACTCCCAGCCACATGCCTCCACCAATGGGTCCCCCTGCTCCCCTCCAGCCCCCCATCAATGCATCCTCCCAGCCCCCACTGCACCCTCCCAAACGGGGGCCCCCCTCCCCGCCACCCCTGCCCCCAGCACCTCCTCCTTGGATGTCTCCCAGTCGCCCGGCTCAACAGAAACCTTCGGCGCTTCTGGGAAAGAGAGAGACACACGGGGTGGGGGCAAGTCAGATCGCGCCCCCCCCAAGCCTCTGACACTCCCCCGCCATCCCAGACCGTCCCCCCCAGACTCCATGTGCCCCCCGCCCCATAACGCCCCCGTCCTGCTCACCTGGTTTCTCCTCTGGGGTCCCCGGAGCTCCGTCTTCCCCCAGCAGCTGCAAGGGAAAGTCACCGAGTCAACCCCCCGGCCCCTCGCCTGGCACTGAGATGAGCCACCTCTGGGGGGGGGGCGGCCGGTTACCCGGGGACCCCTCGCCCGGCGCTGAAATGCGCCCACCTCTGGGGCGGGGCGGCCGGTTACCCAGAGACCCCTTGCCCGGCGCTGAGATGCGCCCACCTCTAGGGTGGGGCGGCCGGTTACCCAGGGACCCCTCGCCCGGCGCTGAGATGCGCCCACCTCTGGGGCGGGGCGGCCGGTTACCCAGAGACTCCTCGCCCGGCGCTGAGATGCGCCCACCTCTAGGGTGGGGCGGCCGGTTACCCAGGGACCCCTCACCCGGCGCTGAGATGCGCCCACCTCTGGGGCGGGCGGCAGATGAGACTCGGGTTGGGTGGGGCTGTTCGCCTCGGACTGGCTGAGCAGATACTGGAATCGCTTCTCCGTGCTCAGCTGCTCAGACAGCAGCTTGGCCAGATGCTTCCTCCGGATGGAGCCCAGCAAGATCCTGGACTCTGCAAACAAGATGGGGGGTTAATGGGGCAGGGCCTGTCCCCTCTAGGGGGCGCCGGCTCCCACCCGGCCCCAGGGCGGGGACTGACTGGCTCAGGGGGGCCACACTGACCTTGGGAGTCCACCAGGGGGAACTGTTTGAGGCTGGAGGCCTTCAGCAGACCCCGCACGTCCTTGAACCTGCAGCCCCGGGGCAGGTATTTGAGGTCCGTGACCATGAAATCCTCCGCGTAGATGTCATGGGCCCTGGTGTGAGGTGGGGGGGAGGGTTAAAGCCGGAGAGAGAACCCAGGAGTCCTGGCTCCCAGCCCCCCAACTCTGACCCACCAGCCCCCACTCCCCTCCCAGAGCCGGGGAGAGAACCCAGGAGTCCTGGCTCCCAGCCCCCCCTGCTCTAACCCACCAGCCCCCACTCCCCTCCCAGAGCCGGGGAGAGAACCCAGGCGTACGGGCTCCCCCGCTCACCTGCTGAAGATGTTTCATCCCGTCGTCGTCCTCGGTGTCTCCGATGGAAAACTCAGTAGCAGCATTGGTGGTGGAGGAAGGGGAGGAGAGGGTGGAGACCGCGCCCGTGCTGAGCTGCGACGGGAGGCCCAGGATGCCTGGGTCCCCTGGGGAAGGAGGGAGGGGGTCACTACATGAATTTGTTACCCCTTTCCCCACCCCACCCCCGGGGCTCAGATCCCCCCTCCCCCATAATACCACCCCCGCCTTGGTAGCCTTCGTGACGGCTCTGGGAGCTGTCATTTCAGGCTCTTGGCAGACACAGGTAGCCGGGCAGATGTTAGTAGGTTTCAGAGTGAACACCCTTCATGAAGGCACCCAAGAAGCGATTGTTTCAGGCTCTCAGCAGACTCACGCAGCGCTCAGCTCCAGAGAAGCATTGCAGAGGGAACAATGCATTCTAGGATGGGGGAGACACAACCACCAGCCCACCCCCGCTGGTGGCTCAGGCCATGGGAAGGGGACCCCGCCCCCATCCCCCTGCCCGCTTGGTACCTTCCGCAGCAGGCTTCGGCTCCTTGTCGCAGGTGCCGAGGGGCACGGTGGGGTCTGAGCCCCCCAGGGGGGCGCTCTCACATTCACTAGTGGCAGTGGCAACAGTAGCAGCAAAGGGGGGGCCCGACAGCCAGGGGGCGCCGGGCAGGGAACATCGCTTCTCCTCCGGGGTCATCGAGGGATCCTTCCAGGCCTCTGGAGAGAGAGAGAGAACGGGTTACCATCTGGGGGGTTGCCCCAATCCCCCTGCCCCCCTACACACCCAGGTGCAGTGGGGTCCAAAAGCCCCCTGCCCGCCTTACCTTTCTCGGGGGCCTCCTTCGAGCCGGGCTCAGCGTCCTCCTTCCCTTCCAAACTCTCGTCGTCTTCCTGCAACGGATGGAAGTCGAACACGTGCTCCTCAGGGATTGGCTCCTTGGGGCTCTTCTGTCAGAGAGGAGGAGGGGCTTGGGGGTCAGAGGTCAAGCCAGGACCCCCAAGTACATGGGGGGGGAAGCATCCCACCGTTCTGCCCACTCCCCCGCCCAGCTGACAGCAGGAGCTACCCCGGGGACAGGACTGGGAGCCAGGACTCCTGGGTTCTCTCCCTGGTTCTGGGAAGTGGGTGGGGGGGCCGGGAACCAGGACTCCTGGGGTCTCTCTCGGGCCCTGGGAGGGTGGGGGGGCCGGGAGCCAGGACTCCTGGGGTCCCCCCCCGGCTGGGGGGGGGGGGGGGGGGCCGGGAGCTGGGTACCTTGAGGGGCATGAAGGCGCCAGAGGAGTCGAAGGTGCCCATCTCCTCGTCCTCGTCATCCATGCACCACTCGGGCAGCCCGTCCTTGTCATCCTCGAAGCTGTCGCTGCCCCGGTGCCGCCGCCCGCCCCGCTCCTCCTCCCGCTCCCGGAAGTCGAAGTCGAACTTGCGGCGCCGGCCCTCGGGGTGCTCCCGCCAGCCGGCCGAGCGGGGCGCGCCATCTGGGGGGGCACACGCTGAGTGGGGGGAGCCGGGCTGCCTCAAGGGGTGCTCCCGGCCCAACCCACAGACTCACAACGGGGGCAGAACCTGCCCATGACACGCCCCCAGCCTGCCCTCCTATGGTCCCGCCTACCACCCCACCATGGGGAGGGTCCCCCGACAGGCCCCGCATCCAGCCTGTCCTATGGCCCCACCTACCACCCCATCATGAAGAGAGACCCCCATAGGCCCCTCCCGCAGCCTGTCCTATGGCCCCTTCTACCACCCCATCATGGGGAGGGTCCCACGACAGGCCCCACCCCCAGCCTGTCCTATGGCCCCACCTACCACCCCGTCATGAGGAGGGTCCTCCGACAGGCCCTGCCCCCAGCCTGTCCTATGGCCCCACCTACCACCCCATTATGGGGAGGTCCCCCACAGGCCCTGCCCACAATCCCCAGTGTCCCCCACACACATTTTGCCCATGGGGGGCCTCACCTGGGCTGGCCGACCGCCAGCGCTCACTCTCGCGCCGGGCCCCACTCAGCCGCCAGCTGCCCCCCGCGGCCGCCCCGGCGGCGGTGGGGACGGCGCCCCCGCCCCCCTCCTCCTCCTCCTCCTGCTCCTCCCGCAGCGTCCGCCAGTTGTTGCTGTCTGAGCGGGCGTAGTCCTTGCGGGGGACTGGAGCTCCCTCCTCGAAGGGAGCCCGGGCTGCGGGGGAGAGGCAATCAGTGGGGGGCCGGATCACGTGTCCGCTCCCCCCCCCCATCCAACCAGCAGGGGGTCAGCCCCGCCTACAGGGCAGCTGCTAAGGGAAGGGGAAGCCCCTCCGCCCACCAGCAGAGCCCCCTCTTCCTCAAGGTGTCGGTGTTCTTGGGCATGACTGTGGGGACCCCCTCCTCCTCCAGTCCTAGGGTCCCCCAGGGTGTCCCCCTTACAGCCCCCCCCCCCCAAATCTCTCCCCACAGGCAACCAGGAGCCACCTACTTCCGTCCCGCCGGGTCGGCTTCTCGAACCGCCGCTCGCCCCTGCCGGAGAGAGAAGGGGAGAGGTCAGAGCCTGGCCCCCAAGTCCCCACGGGTCCCCCCCAGCCCACGCCCCCCACACTCACCGGTCGTCCCAGCTCTGGCTGCGGTGGATCTCCCGGGCCCCGCGCCCGAACGCCCCTTCTGGCTCCTCCGGACTTCTTTGGTAAAACCCGCTCTCGCCTCGGCCCCGGCCTAGGGGAAATGAGCGCTGAGACCCTGGCCTGAAAATGGGGGGCTTCTCTGCCCCCCGCCCACGATCCCCCTGCCAGTGGGGGGGGGGTGGAAGAGCCAGGAACAGCCCCCCCGCCCCCATTCACCCACCTGTGCCCCTCCCCCACCAGTCCCCATTCACGGGCCCCCCCTCATCGGTTCCTATTATCCCCGCGTCCCCATCCCCCACCAGATCTTGGGCTCCAGACCCCCAAATCTCCTCCTAGATACCTCGGCTCCGGGTACTGCCCCTCCCCCGGGAGACTCCAGCGGGAGCGGCTCCACCTCCTTTTCCCATCAGCCTCAGCACCGCCACGCTGTTCACAGACATGGAGAAATTCCTCTGGAACAGAGCCGGGGGGCGGGTTAGCACACAGCCATCACTAGATCCTGCCCCAGATCGGGGCTGGTACCCCCATGCCCCGACCCCCTGAGCCAGCCAGTCCCTGCCCTGGGGCTGGGTGGGAGCCGGCGCCCCCT